ATAGTAGCCATAACAACACCTTCCTGTTTGAGGAATGATAGTAAAATTACTCAGAAATTACTAACTTGTAGTAGTTCTTTACTAGCATCAGCTGATGTATTTTTAAGTATTTTGATGGCAACATGATACTCAGCTTCATCATTGTCTGGTTTCCAGTAACCCTTTGAGTGTTTCCATTATAATTGTAGGTTAATGGTTGTGTTCTCACCTCATATACTGTACCAAATGCTCCAGAACCTAACTCCTTCTTAAACTCTAATTCAGTTTCTGGTATTAATATCAATTTTGTTGCATCTGGAGGTACTTTAGATTGGCGTTTCTATATTAACATAATACGAAATGAATGAATATGTTTTAAAGATGCAAACCTCATTACATAATTCTAGCTCAGCAATATAAATAGACTTTCTATTTTTTCTCAATAAAAAAAGGACTAAGATTAGAATGACTAAAACTGTTAGAGTGATTAATGTCAGCCCTCCAAATATTGACCCAATCACAGCTTCAATAGATACAATAGCACCTGTAGGATCAAGGGTACCCATTGTTCCAGTAACTAGAATACACTGTGAACTACCATTCATTGGAACAGTTTCTGCAATAAGCATAATACATAATTTTAGCAGAATCATTGTCTATCTATCATTATACCTCTAATTGGGTCACACATATAAACACACGAGCCATTAGTGCCTCTGATATATGAGCATAAAACACAATCACTAACTGAAGGCCCACTGCACGTTGCACAAAGCTCATGACAGGAATGACACAAAACAGTACCAGTAAAAAAAATACCACGATCCTCTGACAGAATTTCACGATAATAGCCAGAAGGGCAGGTTACATCCCTCTGACACTCAATCTATATTCAATTAAGTATATAAAGTTATGATAAAGCTTATAATGACTGACTTGTTCTCCGTTTCTATCAAGTAAAATGGTATCACATGCAATACAGCCATTACTGTTATTGAATGTCTTTCCTGGGCCAGCACAGCCATTACTAAGAGTACAACCATCAAAACAAGGCAGGCATTCACCTGAAGAATATTAATAGCAATATGCACTTCGTATTTTTACTTACCGCTTGTGCAATCATCAGGCAAATAAGTGTCACCCACACATGACTCCAGACACAGTTTACCTACTCCAATACTTACATTGACAAAGAAATAAGTATTGCAGCTACTACAGTTGGCAGGACCCTATACATTCATAGAATTGATAAATACTGAATAAATAAACTATCTATACCTCTCCAACACATGAGCCATTACAAAATGAGTGACAAGGTAAGCAAGTATTGTTAGCATTATGATTAAATAAGTGACTATAAGGAGAATGAGCAAATAAAAAGCAGAGAATTTAGAAGTAATATGAAAAGCTCAAATTTAAAAACCAAAGTACCAATATAAAAAGATCTAGTCTACCTAATGTTTTAATATGTAAAAATTACTGAGTATATGAAATTAAGTTTCTGTTATACATGCATGCTCTTTGCATTGGTTAAATTTTTAGCTTATTATACATCAAAAACAAAATTTTAAAAATAGTTTCAAAATTTGTTTAAAACAATGGTATACAATATCCAATTGTTCTCTATTTTTGATGCATTGGCATATTAGATCTGCATAATGTTATCTTATGTGCTATGTTACCTTATGTGCTATCTTATGTGATAGCATATAGATTGTTGTTGCTCAGATATAGTGCATTATACAGCCATGAGCATGCAATGTCATCATTATACACAATACAATAGATATCCTTACATTCCATATGTATCAAAGTCATGACAATCTGGCACACACTGTCCATTAAAAATGAAGTTTGTACAAGTCACACATTGAGTATCATTAGGTCCCCAGCACCAACCAGAAGCAGATGAACATTGAGGATGACATGTCATGCTCATTTCAACTATGATAAAGATGGAAAATTTGCTACGTAAAAATAAAAAGGAAGTAGCTATGTTAACACGAGATTGTTCACAGGAACACAGTATGCTTACACCATTGTGATACTCAAGGCAAAATAGAGCCAAAGATAAAGACCATTAGCAAATGAAAATTAAACATATTGTCACCCAAAGTCTATAGTGTGACATTATTTACAGCTAAAGACTAAACAATGAATATACTGTATACAAATAAATGCTTAGACAAATTGCCATGGCAAATAACGAACACTCACAAACAAGACAAAATGCAAATACTAACCACATTCATCAATTCTTCTTCTGTGATTATCCAACACACAAGATGATGATGATGCATTGGCCAGGTAGTAGCTCAAATTCCCAAGGTAACATAAAGAAGGATTATTCTGTAATCGTATACCACCATTGATGACAGTTTCAAGGGATGAAAGATCAATGCTGATCAAATCAGTATCAGCTATTATAACAGAAAACTTAGTTGAGTCACTTGATCCATTGCATGACTGTGATAAAACTTGAGTGGAATCATTACCAACAGTTTTCAAGTTAGATAAGTATGGAAAAGTATTCTTATTGAAGCCACTAATATCCAGTGAGCCACGTATCTCTCTAATGCCATTGAGATCATTCAATATTGATAGACTAGAAAGGTTTTGCCATAAAATTTTTGCAATGTATAACACTAACTTAACATTTGGAGGTACGCTTGAAATCCTCAGTTCAGTAGTAATGACAGTACATCCAGTCAGTTTTCCAGGATCATTATAATCAAACACACCACCAGTACATTCTAAAAAGTAATTCATCCATACCTCTTATGCATATCTTTTTACCTTGAGGACAAGGGCCATCACAAGAAAGACATCTCATAATTCCATTATTAACAACAGGCATATAATTAGAAGGACAATCTTCAACACATTGAGTACCAAGCTCAAAAAGCATATCTTAATTAGAATAATCAAAAAGTAATGATTAATAATAGTTAGTAGATATACCTGGACAAGAT